AAGAGTTGGTTTTGTGCAAAACAAACTTACCGCCGTCGTCTTCATCGCTGGAGTCAACGCCCTCCATGAGCGTCTCACGTCCTCCATCGCCCTCCTCCGCCCGCCCCTCAGGCTCATCGTTGCCGTTCTCCGAACCTTATTCGTCGTCGCTACTGTCTTCATCGTTAGCGAATGTATACGGCATGTAACAACATATTCGCCTGATTGAGAGCGTAGCATCTGATTGAGAGCGAGATTGCGCGATACGCTGTAGCCGGACTACCACTGAGAGGTGGAGCTTGCTGTGTAGCTTGAATTGAAGGGCTAGCCCGTAGCTTCAAGCCGCTACCCTGGTCATCCTGTGGGAGTCTCTCGTTGTGGAGCTACAGCGGGGAGCAGAAGCTACAGCAGAGCCCACCGCCCGACGCGATACCGCCCTGAAACAGTTTGAGCAGAAATAGCCAATCTGGGCAAATCTAGCAACTTGTCTAGCTCCTCGCTGCAGCATCCGATGACGATGACACGCATATGCTCGCGAAGCTGCTGATGAGACCTTCAATTTGCACCGCTTCTTGGAATAGCCCGTCCCCTACTTGCCAAGAAATGGCAAGAGGCGTCTGGACCCGAAATTTCATTTTTTTTGGCTCTCGCTCTCAATCAGATACTTCGCTCTCAATCAGGCGAATATGTTGTTATATCCAAACCTTCCAAGGTGATTCGATCATCGCCCGAGCCGTCCACGGTCATGGCCATCCCGTACTTTTCGAAATGACGGAATCGGTACGCCTGTTGTCTGTTGAGTCTTGCCATGGCCGCTCCCATTCACTGAGTGATCAGGACGCGCCGATCAGAAGCTGTCAGCGACGCGGTTTCCCAACTTTTAAGGTTATCCGACTGCTCGAGCCATATGTCCATCTGCCTCCCCACTTCAACCTTGAGAAATCGTCCGGCTCCTGCATCAACTGGCTGCACTTCGTCCGTGCACTCCGAAGGGCCATACCAGGCGAGAGTCTTGCAGTGCTTCGCAAGATACTCCTTAAACTCGTCCGTGGTCTGCGCGTGCAACTTGTCCATGATAATGGACCTCGCCTTGGGGAGCTCACCCCGCCCGCGCATGAGGCCTTCGCGGTAGGACCGCTTCGCCCAATCCATGCAGAACTTGTGGACGGCCCACGCGTTCTCCTGGAAACACGTCCACGTCCTCGTGATACGCTGCCTTCTCCACCGGCGAGATCCGCTTTCCCGTGCCTCGGAAAATCACCGAAATGCATATGGTCTTGTCACCCGGACCAAAGATGACTTGCATCGTGCACTGCCTTTTCTCTAGGCCAGGAAAGGGCTGCGAGATTGCTACCCGCAACGCACCTCTCTTGTCCCACGTGTCGAGCAGCCCGTTCACGAATGCCAAAGACACTTGATCCACATTACAACGCTCCCAGAGCTGGAATTGACCGTATTTGGGAACCCTGCACTCGCTCTCCGCGACCGTCGTGACTGCCGACGCGTCGGACTCATCGGGCGCCCTGTACCGCACCGGCTCTTGCAGGAGCTTGCGAAACAGCCGGTGGGAGCGCTGGATCTTTGGAAGCCGCTCTTCGACAGACTTGTTCTTGAGGTTGGTCCGGCGTCTTGGCCCATTTTCACGCCCACCTGAAGGATGCACGGAAGGACGCCGCTCGTTGATCCCCGGCGTAAATCTCTCGCGCGAGCTTCCGGAACGTGATCGTCAGCTACAGGGTCGACACCTTCAGCTTCAGCCGCTCCACGAACTCCTTGTACAGTCGCTTCTCTGCCTCAGGAAACCACCGCTTAGGCTGCTGTTTGGCGAGGAGACTCTTCTTTGCGTCATCGGCTGCCGCCGCGATCAATTTCTTCTCGTTCTTGGCCCACTTCACTATATTGCTGTAGGGAATCTTGAGACGATCCTCCAAGAACTGAAGAGGCGTGCGCCGCTCCTCCTTCCAGAGGTCTTCGGCGTTGCCCTGGAGGATGCGCAGCTGGTTGACCGCGTGGGCTTTGAACCTGAAGTCGTATCACCTGCGCTTGGGAGCCCCACGAGTGTCCTTGGGTTTGCGGTCCATAAAGCCGTCGCTATCCAAGTCGAGATCGAGAAAGCGCTTCCGCTGGAGGACAAACGAAGCCGTCCCCGTCGCATGATCGAACTTCACGTGCCAACAACGCCCAGGCCCGGCAGCTTCCCACGGCAGGACACTCCCTTCGACATCCTTCCGTAACATTCGCCGCAGCCGCACGCCATTGGACATGTTTGCACTGCTGTGCTGCGTTCTCACGTGGATCCCATGGCCTTGCTCGTTCACGAAGGTCATGGGACAGTGAGGGCAAGACCGGCGGGACTCCGGGGTCGGAGGTTGGAAGATTATACCGGATATGAAATCTTTCACTCCACCGCGAGTCCGCTCAATCTGCATGGCAAGGTGGAAGCAGGGCGGAGTTGCCGGGGGGGTGATTCAACGAGTAACGTCATGTATCGTTCGCTATGGAGTGTGGCGCTTTCGACCTCAAACCTCCGTGCAGAGCCGAAAGCTGTCTGTTTCATTCGTGACTGTTCAAACTAAGTATCAAGCAGAGAACGTGCACTGTTGTGACGCCAAAACAAAGTCGTCGGGATCCAAACTAGACTATCTGTCTACACCATTTTCTTTTAATGTTCTGGCCTTGCTTGAAAAAAAGGGGGATGGACGAAAATTTTATCTTATCATGTCTACACAGCAGCAGCATTCCACGAATCTGAAAAAGGCACAACTTTCCGGAGTATTTGCACCAGAGTTGGCTCTTGCCAGCAGACGCAGTTGACGAGAACTCGACACCCCTCCACTTGCTTGGGCACCTACAGTAAGAAACGGCGTGCGAAATGCAGTCGTTGCCAGCAGAGGCCAGCCCCAAAACTACGAACTTTCTCCTTTTTTTTTTTATTACGCGCCGCTACTGAAAAAAAATGGCCCTCATCATGTCATCGTTTTCACGGGAGTTTTTCTTGAAAAATGAAAATAGTGTACGTAGACTACACCGGTAGCGAAAAGTAACTGTGTGCTCACCGGTCCTCGGCTGCCAATTGCGAACGCGTTACAGAGTTTGCCGCCTAAAGTGCCTTTGGCAGCTCTCTCCCTAACTTGCTTCCCGCGATCCACGGCCTTTCTCCTCGCGGTACCTGCAGCAGCAGGTGGGTGCTGAGACGGCGGTGCAGTACCTCGCGCGCTGCCGACATCTTCTTGGGATGAAGAGGACAGGCGGGTGCTGCCGGTAATACCCTGCGTTTCGCCGTCAATCTGCGTGACCCACTCTTCTTCGTCGAAGACACCGTTCTGCTTCAGCCCCCACGCGCTCTCGATGGCGTCCCATCGCTCCTTCGCAACGGAGTTGCCCGCCTTCACGTGTGCTTTGATTGTCTCGAAGTGACGGTCAAGAATCAGACCCCTTTGTTTCAGCTCTGCAAGTTTGCCAAGCTCTTTCAATATTCCATGGGATGAGGGATTGCACTGGGACATAATCCCCCTGCACCGCAGACAGCTCGTGGCACGCTGCACGTTGCGTGACACGACCCAGGGGCACGACGCGTGCGTACAATGCCCACCCTCCCCCTCTAACAAAATTCAAGTCCAATACTCTCTACTCTCTACTCTGGGACCACTCCCCCCTCTTCCCTCCCTCCCCCTGCGAGTATTCTTATCTGGCAGCCGCTGCATTGCTGTCGTTCTTATTTGTAGCAGCAGTTTTGCACCTCAGGTGTGATTTCTTGTTCCTAACAGGGCGTGCAGCTGAGCACGTGTTCTTATCGGTAAACTCTTAAGTTTTGGATCTTTTGAGCATCAAATTCTTAAGTTCCATATTCTTAAGTGCGGGCCGGCACTGTAGTGCACCGCAGCTGACTTTCGGTACTGCACGCCACCGCCGAGAGACAGGCTAGGATCTCCTTGAGGTAGCGCTCGCCGTTGTGCTTCTTGGTGGAGAAACTCTTTGAGTCCTCCGATTTGGGGATTTTCTAGGCGGGCGGCGCGTCACGAAGGCCAACGGCTAAGCTGTGCCGCCCCGTTTCGCGGTCAAATTGCGTGCAGTGTTCGTATCGCACAGTTCTGTACTGGTAATGTAGTAAGCATAATGCACGACATCGGACGACCCGACGAGTTGTGGTGTTGTATCCCGAAGCAGATATCGCACGACTTTGAATTGGGTGTTTTCTGAAAGGTAGCGCGTACCATTGGGAGGCTCGATCGTCCGAGACTGCCAAATGTGCAACAGTTTCGTTCCGTCTGGTAGTATTCGGAGGGAGATTTTGTGATTTAGTAGCAGAGAAACGTTCGGATACCGCTAAGACTTGGTGCCGTGCGGAACGTGTGGTACGGGGGATGTCTCCCTCCGTAGGCCACAGAAATATTTATGAAGGCAATTCGAAAGAAAACAATAAACAGAGCATTTTTTTGCTTTACCCCGCGCCACGCGCCACGTGCCCACTGTGAATGCTGTGCACACAACAACCACCACACGGCAACTGGCGCATGCGACCCTACAGCAGGGATCACGGCTGTTGACGCTCAATTGAACACACCACGCGACACAGAAGTTCTCTCGCACAACTCTGGCGCGGTAAATTTGTACAGTTCAATTCAGGAAAATCGTAAAAGTCAAACATGCAAATTGGTACGGTAGCAGTCTACATCTATCTGTGTCTGTTCTCAAGCACGTTGAGCGTCTCTTTTATCCGTTGTTGTTGATGAATGCGTGAAAACGTCCCACGGACAATGGGAAACACAATCACACAAGAAGAGAATGTGATCAAACGCAGCGGATTACAGCAGTAGGACTTGCAGCAAACCGCTAGCAAAAACCTCTCACTTGCCCACAACGGGAAGTCATGGTGGGAGATACAAAAATACCCCACACGCATGATGCAAATCCAGGAAAATTATTAGCATGCANTGCAGCAACCGCTAGCTAGCAAAAACCTCTCACTTGCCCACAACGGGAAGTCATGGTGGGAGAAAACAAAATACCCCACACGCATGATGCAAATCCAGGAAAATTATTAGCATGCAGGTTGCACGTAAGCCGGCACTACCGAACGTTATGACGACCAACCATGCGACCGCGATGGCATTGATTGGCCATGTCTTGCGTCGCCCCCGGGGGGCAAATCACCCACCTCCAGCACGGGAAGTTCGCACTACGNAGGTTGCACGTAAGCCGGCACTACCGAACGTTATGACGACCAACCATGCGACCGCGATGGCATTGATTGGCCATGTCTTGCGTCGCCCCCGGGGGGCAAATCACCCACCTCCAGCACGGGAAGTTCGCACTACGTAGTATCAAGTTTTCGCCGACATTCCTTGTGGTCTGATGCGTCTCGCTTGGCCATGGTTTACTCTCATTGTTTCCTCGAAACCTGCTCTTTCGGAAGCAAGCCGGCCCCTATACGCATTTCTTTTCATGGAGACAACCAGGAACATCAGCCTTTTCATGGTTGTGTTTGCTGCAGGAATACCTAGCTAGGTGTGGCTGGTGGGTACTGTAGTGAGCGGATTCAACGGTCGTTCGTGTGCCCCCCCCCATGCCCCGCCATGCGGCCGTCGTCCGAAAAAAACAATGGGAAAGGCTCAGGGGTTAAGGGGAAGGCGGTCGTGATTTGTGGTCGACATTGCGATTAGGAAGGTGGAGGGATTGCTTTGTGCTAATGGTAGACATGACTTTGCACGACTCAGTCTAATCCTTAACAATCAGAGGGCGTATTTCTTGGAGCCATTGGTCCCATAGTGATATGAGACAAAATATTCGGAGATATTGAACCTTCGTTTCATTGACATGTTTGTGCAGGAATCAAAATTTGCCATTTGATGCTGGTCAATTTCATGACTATACGAAGCCTTTTCACCGTGCGCACATAGAAACAAACGTCTTTGCGCACGCGGACATGCACATCTATCCTCAGGACGCATCGAAAGTGAATGTGCTGTATACTTACAGCAAATGTATCGAGCCCAAGGAGTACATCGCCCGCCACAGAACAACAACCAGCACAGCGTAGATATAGTGGGACAGATAGGTGCGGCAGGCGCACATCTAACCCGCCACAGTCAAAGATTTCAGGCCTGCCAAAATTTCCCGACACGGAGTGAGCAGTCTCCACAGGTGGCCAGCGGGCACCGTTACGGGGGGTGAAAGTGACCTGTATCCCTTAGGCGNCATCCCCGACACGGAGTGAGCAGTCTCCACAGGTGACCAGCGGGCACCGTTACGGGGGGTGAAAGTGACCTGTATCCCTTAGGCGATGTGCAACCTGCGTAACCCCCTTGGGCGCACCGTTCTTCATCATCCAAGGTCAGGCTAGGTTCGGAAACGCCGCCCCAAACCTAGTTAAGGGACATCTGTGTCTGTGCGAAGTCGCAGGTGAGGTTGTCCAACCCCAAGAATGTCTATGCCTTGCCGCGAAAACTACCCGCCGTGTCCACAGAGTACACACACCAATTTATTGGACAATCGCGGCAATAATAAAAAAAAAAGCAGGTACAAGAGTGTCGAATTCGTAAGGCCGATTTTGGTTGACTGCACCGTGCAAACATAAGGAAAAGCCCCCCCCCCCCCTCCGCACCACCAGTACTATTTCAAAGTAACGCCCTTTTCCGTTGATCTGCAACTGCCCGCCGGTCATCCCGCGAGTAGCCCCTCACCACTTCGTGGGTTTTCATCTTGCAGCTGTTGTTGCATTTTGGGGCTCGGTTCTTATCTGTACGCACATGATTACACCGAAAAGGCGGGTTCTCGTTATTGACACAACGCACGTCGGGACTGAGCACGCACGTGTCCTTATGGCCATTATCTTTGATTTTGAATTTTGTCGAGGCCGCATTTGTTGACTGCGACGTTCTTAAGTGCGAGCGGCTTCTGTATCTTCCCATCATGATGTAGTACCAGAAGCATCATAGACTAGACATGTAGAAATACGCACGGCAACGATCGGGGGAAAAAGGAAAACTGCGAAAGAGAGGCGATGGGAACCGGAGATCGACAGTAGTAGAGAGGAGACGGCGCGCGTGCGGAGCCGCAGAGCAGGATCCTGCTTTTGGCTGATACTAGAGTTGGAGGTGGAATAGTTTTTTGTGGTGGTTGCTCAAAAGTACCTGCAGTAGGCTCGTGCGTCTGTTACAGAAGAACGGGGGGNGTACCAGAAGCATCATAGACTATTCATGTAGAAATACGCACGGCAACGATCGGGGGAAAAAGGAAAACTGCGAAAGAGAGGCGATGGGAACCGGAGATCGACAGTAGTAGAGAGGAGACGGCGCGCGTGCGGAGCCGCAGAGCAGGATCCTGCTNTTTTTTAGCCTTGATCTCCATCGCAAACCCCACAATAGTTGTTCCTGTGGACCAAATCGATTTGAGACGTTCCTGAAAATTCATGGTTTTCGTATAGGAACAGACTTACTTGCGGGAAAAATGGGAACGTACCCAAAAATGAGAATGGGCGTTTGTTTTTAGAAAGCAAACCACGCCTTTGCAACTCCCCCCATCGAGTATTTCAGATGGATCCAACCTAGGGGGGAGGAGTCTGAAATTGGTATTTATTGGAGTTGCTGAGAAGTGAGCATTTGTTATTGTGTGCAAAGAGGATGTCTGCGTGCGTATAGAAGAGGAGGCATGCGCACCGAGCGAAGGCAGCTGCTCGCAGGACATTCTGTTTGCGCCCGATCACGTTGAAGCATCATCAGTGCTGGAGCACAGGGACTGCTAAACGTACGAGTGGACAACACTGCCAGCTACTACCTGTTAAGACGTTCTGTTCCGGGGAGCTAGTGTTGTCGTCTTTGCCGGCGGGGCGAAGACCAAGAATCGGGGCGACGAAGTCCATACGCCGTTTTCGGAGAAGAAGCGTCGACTACTTTGGTACGTGCGATGTGACGTTGCGTGTGGTTCCACAGCAGAATAAGAGAGCGCTAGCCGATAGCGGTCAGCGCACAGCAGTGATACGTATCGGATAGGGGGGCATAGGCCAGACGGGCACAAATGCCATGTGTTGGCAGGCGGGTGTGCATATGACGTGTCGCTATTCTTGGGGGCTTGCTCGAGCAGGGCGATGCCTAGCTGATGATGATGCGAATGCGGCGCGTGCGCTGGTGTGCATGGAGCGACGCAGTTTCAATCACAAGAATGACAAACCAAGGGTGCAATACGCGACAGAGGATATCATACGAGTATGCCAGACACAACCGAACCCCCTTTGCGTGCGAAGAGGGTGTTACAACGACCGCTAGGAGCGGACCAGTTTGGTTTGTTTGTTTTGTTTACAAACTTCAACGCGTGTGTCGGCATACGCGGCCAAGCGGAGAAATAGAGAATAAACGTCGCAGGGCGGATGTAATTTATAGATTCCGGTACAGCAGTCTCGGAGACTGCTGTGGTGTGGTTGGGCTAACACAACTCACAATTACCAGACAAGGCACAAGTTTGAGTGCAGGTCCTTAATCACACGACGAGGCACGAATAGTTGAGTGCAGGTCCATCGAGTCGAGGAAGAGGGGCCAAGAGACGAAATACAAACTAATTCGTCGGCCCGAGGAAAGGTGGTGGATAATATCCACACCCACACCCAACACACGTTGNATTCCGGTACAGCAGTCTCGGAGACTGCTGTGGTGTGGTTGGGCTAACACAACTCACAATTACCAGACAAGGCACAAGTTTGAGTGCAGGTCCTTAATCACACGACGAGGCACGAATATTAGAGTGCAGGTCCGTCGGATCGAGGAAGAGGGGCCAAGAGACGAAATACAAACTAATTCGTCGGCCCGAGGAAAGGTGGTGGATAATATCCACACCCACACCCAACACACGTTGATTTTGCAGCAGCTTGTTACTCGTGTACACTTGATGGACGTTTTTTTTTTTCCCCACGAGGTTTTCCAGAAGTCAATGTGGACCGGATAAAAAGATGGGGCGATGATTGATATAAACCATGGTGGCTGGACATCTGGCGATGAGTTGTGGTTATCGAGGTGTAGCACGTATGTCGCTGGTGCGATTGCGGGACGGATTGCGGCCGTCAGGAAACAGAATCCGGGGGCCGATTTTGTACGCACGAATATGGTCGTCGTGTATGGAAAAAACGGTGGCACGGCAGAAAAAAATCGATTCAATGTAGAGCGAGTTTGTACGCTCGTGCGTATGATGCTGGCTCACGGTGATTGTTCGTAGACCAGGGTACGGATCATATGAGAGGTGAGACGTGGTGGACAGGAGTCGCTGGTGCGGCTGGGATACAGTGTGCGGTCGTTAAGATACGTATGCATACTGAAGGTTACTCGAATCGGTTGCACGTACGACTATGGGTCGTTGGCACGGAATGATCGGTCTAGACGGAAATAATCGATTTGGAGGGTGCTAGTACGCTGGTGCGTACGATGTCGGCACACGGTTCGATTATAGACCAGGGTCCGGGTCATCTGGAGATGAGCCGTGGTGGTCAGGAGTCGCTGGGGAGGCGGGAATACTGTATGCGGTCGTGGAGATACATACGCGTACTGAATGTTACTCAACCGATTTGCACGTATGACTGTGTTCGTTGGCACGGAAGAATCGGTCGAGAGAACAAGAGACACAACGCGATATATACAGCTGGTAATGGTATTACACTGCATATACCACTGGTCACGCTAGAGCCTTCTGATGCGGTAATCTGGTGATCAGACGTGGTGGTCAGCAGTAGCGTGTAGGTCGCTGGTGCGGCTGGGATACGGTTGGCATACGCATCATTCTCTTAAGTCCCCGATGTATATTGTCCCACTTGTTCATCATGATCAGGAAATTGATTGGTGCATCGGCGGCAAGCCGGCCGGGGGCGGAGATATGAGCGGGGACGAGCACTCCTCCGACGAGTCCGTGATCGACCGCGGCGAGTATGAGGCGTCGCGGCAGGACAGCGCTAACGAGCGAGCCGTCATCTGCGCCTCGGTGGAGGACCTGAAGGCCGAGATGGGGGTGAGGTTCACGGAGGTGCTGGCAGCCGTGCGTGATCGGGGCGGCGGGGCCGCCGCGGGTGGCGCTGCCGGAGCTGCACCAGCGCCCGGATATGGGGGCGCGCGTGCAGCTGCCGACGTGGCGTCGACGCTCACGTATGGGGGCGCGAACGCGGGTTACGGGCTCCACCGCGTGGAGTCGAGTCCCGGGTTGCTGCATGGCGCTGGTCGGTACAGCAGTGGGGGCGGCTTAGGCTTCACTCCCGCGATTTCGTCCCCGTTTGGAGCGGGAGGCCTTAACGTCGACTCCGGGGGATACGGGATGGGCACGGGGATGTCGCACGCCCAGCGGCGGATGGAAAAGGTGATCTCGGACCAGCGGGTGAACGCTTGGAGCGCGGTGAACAGCCGCATGTGGTGGGTGGTGATGGGATGTTTTCCGCCGAAGTTAGAGAAGCCGAGCTTGCAAGGGTTAATGCATGATAGTTTTGAGGTCACGGACGAGGTGGCCGACATGCTCTTGAACTTCCGTGGCTTTGACCCTGCTGCATTCGCGCCCCGGGGGGCGGGTGGTGAACGTATCCCCATCGCAACGCATTTGGCCCTCATGGCGGGGGCCTTCATCACCATCGCCCGCCGGGGGATCGTCGACGAACCGAGGTTGGCGGCGGCATCGAGAGCGCAGGTGGATCGTGTCGAAGCCTCGTTCCAGGCGGCCATCGCCGACGTGGAGCGGCACACTCGGGAGAATTACGCGGCCATCCAAGTACCGCACAACCGCGACATCTTTTTGACTTTCATCGTCAAGGACATGGACATTTACACGCGCGAAGTACAGATGTTCGCGGACGAGATGCAGCGGCGCTTCGTTCTCCCTCCGCCATCGGACGCCCTCCCGCCCCCCCCCCTCCCGGTTTTCCCAAACCTGGCGGCGTATCTCCGGTCGGGAGGGCTGATCAATTCTGCTGTGCAAGGCAAGGGCCGTTCATCGGCCGCCGCAACGGGTGCCGGGGGGAAGGGCAGCAAGGCCAGGGACCCGGGGCCGTGCTACCAGTTCCAGAAACACGGTACATGTCGGTGGGGGAAAGACTGCAAGTTCGCGCATGTGGCGCCGCGGAAGGCCGGCGAAAAGGGAGGAAAACGGGGGGGCATGACTGGCGGCGGGGCCGAGGATGGTGGCTCCAAAGGTAGCCCCTCCACCGTCGCGGACACCAACGCTCCTGCCGCCGCCGCCCCAGCGAAGCGGGCCAAGTTGGGAACGGCCGGGACGAAGACTCGCTGCGAAGAGCGGTGCCGGCGGCGGCGCGGAGGACGGCGATGAGGAATAGGGGCGCGGGCCCTGCCCCCCGGGGGCGGGAGGGCCGTCTTTCGATGTCGCGGGGGGTGTGTTCTCGGGTTCGAGCACACACCTCATACGACCAGGGGCGGCTACTGCGTTGACCCGAGGTGGGGTTGGTAATTTAGATGGCAATGATGTTAGGCGTATTGTTTCCATGGTACATGCTATGTCTCAGACCGTCGCCCAAGGTACACCACGTGCAACCGTACTTGCTCAGATCGCGGTGAAGTGTTTTCGGTTTTTGTCTCAGCATGGGGGAAGATTTGAATGCATGAAAGCCATCGAAAACGGCATCGGGGTGCCGCGGGTACGGCCTGAATTTATTCGGTTTTGGTTTGGACGCTTGAAGGGTTTTCCTCACACAGAGACGATCGCTGATATCGTGGAACGTGGCGCCATAGTGCCCGTGTGTGGATCTGCCGAAATCGCAGCAGCGCTATCGTATGGTAACCACCGTAGTGTCGTCCCATATTCTGACACTATTTTACGGAAAGTGTTTGACGACGTGCGGTTTGGGCGGGCGTTCGTGTTTCCAAAGACAGAGGAAGACTCGATACCGGGGTTGCGGCTTTCTCCGCTATTTGTCGTCGTGTCGCCTGAAANTGTCGTCGTGTCGCCTGAGAAAATTCGGATTATCCATGACTTGACGTTTGAATGCTCACCCGTGTCGCGTAGTGTCAATGCCGACACGGATTCAGAGGCGGCGCCGAAAGTCGAGTTAGGTCACGTGTTGCGGGACATCGTGTGGCGCATTTTATGGTTGCGGAGGACGTACGGACCATCGGCCCGGATTGTGTTAAGCAAAATAGACGTGACGGACGCATTTCGACAGGTTGCGGTTCAATGGTCGGGAGCTCCCGTGTTTGGCTACTTAGTTGGGGACCTTGTCGTGGTAGATCGGCGCTTGCTTGGTGTTTGGGTGGCGCAATTCACCTGGCAATTTTTGTGTCATGACTGCAGCGTTGGAGCACTCTCACAATCATACGTCTGAAGCGAATGCAGTAGTCACTGAGCTTGGCCGGACGGCTACGAACCATGTTGAGGTTCCGTTACCGAGCGAACGTGAGATGACACCCCCATTGCCCCCTGGGTGTCGCATCCCCCCCGGTTCGGGGGGCGGTCGCTCTGACTCGTTTTTCGTGCGGTTTTATGTCGACGATGGTATTCTGGTGGACGTGATGTGGAGCCCGACTGGGGAACGGTGTAAAGTAGCTTCCGCATCGTGTGCATCGGACCATTTCCGGGTTTTTGGGGCGCGGGGGTCAAGGGAGCCTCCTTTGTTGTCTGCGCGTAAACTTTCCTCGTGGTGTACAAGGTTGTGTGTGCTCGGGTGGGACATTGATACAGTGGATATGACCATTTCGGTTCCCACAGACAAACCGGAACGCCTGCGGGCGACCATCCTCGAGTGGCCTCCCACAAGCTGCTTTGCTTCTGAGTCCGAGTTGCGGGGGATGATTGGATCGTTCTTGCATATATGTGAAGTCGTGCGACCTGGTAAATATTTTGTTCGCCGCATGCTCAACCAGTTGGGGCTACCGCCGGTGCAATTGACCGTCCAGGGGGCGACACGGAAACGAATCGGTCCCGAGTTTCATGCTGACATGCGGTTTTGGCGTCTGTTGGTCGACAGGGGCCTGGAGTCGCCGGCCCGGTTGTTAACAGCCCCACTTGTGTGTTTCTTCGATCAACCATATTCGTGTCTTTTGTGGTCGGACGCATCTGGAGATGCGATGGGAGGGTACTTCTTGCATGCCGAATTCCGTTCGGGAGTGTGGTGGCGTTTTGATTTTAGTCAGGAAGTACGGGAGAGGTTTCGACAGCAGGCCCAGGGGCGTCACGATCTGAGCATCAACATGCTCGAACTCCTCGCGATGGTAGTTGGCGCCCTGGGTGTTCATTAGACAATCGGAAATGAGGCCAGAGTACGCCCGCAATAGCGATCGTATGATGGGAGACAATTCGTCGAGTGTCGCGTGGGTGAACAAGTGTCGGGGGTGAGTACGTCCGCGAGTCAGTTGCGCAGTCGTCTCGAAGAACTTACCTGTCGGGTTGACGGGCTTGGTGTGCTTTTCGCCGCATGATTGGCAAGTCAGAGTACCTCTCGAGGGACGCGGATGGGGCTGGTCTGGAACAAGCACTCTTGGAGTTTGTGGCGTGGTGTTGTGCAGATAAGGGTAATGTTGCAACAACCATATCCGACAAGCTCGCCGCGGTGCAGTACTTTCAACGAGTTGACAAGCAGCGTGAGTTGCCCGCCGGTGCGCCTCTTATCAACCGGAGTTTGTTGGGTGTCGCACGTGTTCACGTTCGCGCGGGTACAACGAGTCGGAGTCGGGTTCCCGTCTCATGGGAAACGCTGTTGGAAGGACAGCAGTTGACGGCGTCGTGGGGTACAGGCGGCCGCGTGTTGTGGCTGTGTTTGGCGTTGTCGTACTTCCTGGTGGCGCGTTCGGATAAGGTTTTTGCCACACTGTCGGGGCAATGCCACCAGGTGCATTGTTTGCGGCGTAGCGACGTCGAATTCTTTCATGGGGAGTTCGGGTTCGGTTTCGCGGCCACAAGGGGGATCAGTCGGAGAAGGGGGCGTACGTTACACGAGTGCGCGAAGTAGCACCAGGCGCGAGTTCTCAGATTGGAGCCGGTGGCGATGCCGTGGCGGTGTTGGTGGAATTGATGGCGTGCCATCTCGCGTTACCTGAGGCAAGACGATCAAGGTTTGGGGATATTCCAAAGCTCTTACCGCCCTTCGCCAGATTGTGGATAAGGCAGGTGGCGACCCCAAACAGGTTGACCTGCATTCGTTGAGAATCGGGGCCGCCACCACGTTGGCAGCAGGAGGAGACGTACCGGACAGAATTATACAGAGGGAGGGTAGATGGAAGGAAGGCTCGGGTACGTTCAAAATATATACTACGAATAATATGGTGGACGTAGACATGGTATCCCGTAAACTAGCGAAGGGGAAGAAGACGGAGCAGAAGAAGGGTTAGCATACACGAAGGTACGGGCAAGGGGACAGAATGCCATCCCACTAAACGTCGATGTTGGTGGAT